AGTTTTACCAAACTTGCAACTTTAAAATCCAAGTTTTCTGGCCCCCAAAACACTGTTGTCGTGTAAATGGACAAATTGCATAAAACACTTTCCGTATTTAGTTGAAAATGGTGTCATGTAAATGCCCCCTTAGTTAACTATAATAACCCTGATGCTCAAGGTCTTCTTTGAAGAATGTAATACAAAGTACCCTATGCATCTGATATACTGGGTTGTGCATTGTTACCACAGAAGCTCTGTGGCCAGTTGAACTATGATTGTTTATTTCACGGTTAAATTGACATCACTTGCAGAGGTTATAATACGTAACATAGATGCAGGTTAAAATTGTATTAAAAGGACCAAAAGTTTGGATACACTACTGTAGGTAAAGTATAACATTTAACTTTCTGTCTCCATGGTAATAACATTATCCAAAAATATATCATTATATGACTGGTGTTAAAATATAAGGACACATCCATTTCCAAGTGGAAAGTGTGATTCTTTGCATGCTGGGTTCATTATCTGTATTTATTTTTGTCTTTAACACAGGATCTACCAGCATGCTTCATGGATGTCCACTTCATTTGGTGGTTGGCACATACTGTGAGCTGTGGTTGCCAGTGGAGATGAGGAGAAAATGTACCAGCATGAGAACAGACACATATACACTCTTTCACACACACAAACACGTCTGCCTTCACCAAGACTATTAAGATAAACTAGGGATGAGTCCTTCAGTCAAGAGCCCTAATACTCCTTGAGATCCATTAATAAAATCTAACACAACAACAACAAGAGGTAGAAAGAAACGGTGTGAGATAAATGTAAAATAAAAACAGCTGTTTACTTTATCACTTAAACTGAATAATTCAAACAACAAATTAAATGTAAGAATTCAAGACTGAACACTTGGTATATAAAGCAAACCATCCATAATAATCACAGCTACAATATTACTTTAAAATGTTTTTTTTTTTTTTTCTGTGATGAGAAGCTGAATTTTCCACATCCATTATTATAGAATCATCTGATTCTTCAGAAATCATAAAAAAAAAAAAACTACTACCCATATCAATAATACAAATGCCAAATATTTAAATAAACACATATTTCAATATTTTTTAAATAAATTGATATTATTAAATAAATTAACCAGTTGCAAGTGAAATTGGAAATATATTCGGATATCATTTCTGACTGTATATTTGCACAGAAATCAAACCACGGAGAAAGTTGATACAGTAGATAGCATCCAAATTGAGTCAGTCCTCTTATTTCCTCCATGTTGCTGGTTCTAATCACACACAACTTTTAGTCCAGATACCAATACAGTGCACACTGAGCACACGCGCTAACAAACTCTGGCAGAAAGACCCCACGGCAGCCTGACATCACCCCACATGTTTACCCGTCCGCACGGCCCTATCTTTTAATCAATCTATTAGAGGAGCCAGGCAATGATGACAGGTCTCGTGACTGATAAAGTGACCTGGCGAACATTACAGCTGTTTTGGTCACCCAGCTGGACAGATAACGGCCCAAGCGGAGAGATGATGATGATGATGATGATGATGATAATGTTGTTACAGGGGCCGCTAGTGCATCCAGTCCAGCCCAAATGTCACCTCCAGCTATCTCACTCCTGAGACTCTACCCCCCATCTTAAGTGCCCGTCGTTTCCAAACGGACATTTAGCAAATTATCCTTTTCTGTTAGACACAGAAATGGCTCCTCGCCCACATAAAAGGAAATCGGAAAGGCAGGAAGTCTGATGCCTCTTAAGACATTTGAATTATCATTGTGCTCTCCAGTGCGTGGCATGCTATTCATCATGCGACAGAAATAACCGTCTTTTCCTCAGTATCGCCGGCGGTTTCTACACCGTTTGGGTGAATCCTCGGAATGCTGCATGATAGGTCAGAAAAAGAGTGGGCAAAAAAAAGAAAATTTCTATTGATTCCCTGCTTTGATTTACACGCCATAGAGGATTTTTTTTAGCTAGTTTCACCATGTATCACTTGTTCAGCTTGATAGCTTTAAATTACCAGGTGGAAACCGTGCTAGAATTTGCTCTTCCGTACTAGTCATCCATCGCTCCAATGGCTACATCAACCGGACTGTAAAGAGATGAGCGTTGCCTGAGGCCAACAGACGCCCCGCCGAGAGATCCTTCCTTCCCTCTCACTTCCTCTCTTGCACCGTCAGCAAACTGGCCATTACTGGAGACTCAAGTGTGCAGACACTTGTTTCCCACCGGCATGACAGAAATAAATAAAGTTGCGCTGTTTCTCCTTTTTCCAGCGCGTATGTCACTGTTGCAGCGGTGGCGGATACAGAGCTTGCTTGTCTTTCCGCAGCAGTGGTTCTGCTAAGAACAGGTCTATCAGACACAGACAAGTGAACAAATGTCACTGAGCTTAAAAAGACCCATGTCTGGGAAAAAAAGCAGAGAGGGCAGGAGGAATGACAGGAAGCAAACGGAACGCATTAAAGTTGGCTTTTGTTCTACGGTAGCTTAATTTCTCCCCCACTTACGACTTTAGAATTGGAAGCGTTTCTCTTGGAGAAATCGACGGAGACAGTACAATGGACGGAAACACATACTGCGACAGACACGAGAGAGAGAGGAGCAAACAGAAAAACAGACAGAAGAGATTGTCAATAATGTCCACAACCTTGAGTCAGGCATTTGCCCTTTGGTGACAATGTGTTATTCATGGAACATTCATCACGGGCCTGATGAAATCTCTCGGCTGTTTGAGATGCAGAAACTTAGACACTTTATCTCGCTGTCAGCACGCAAGTGCTCTCCCCAATGTCCACCGAGTCCCTGAGCGCCCTGCTCTTGTAGCTTTGGATCACACAGAATGTGAGATGAAAACTAGGGGCAAAAGAAAAGAATAGAAAAACCAGAGGACATTCTGACTGGTCCAGTATTTGAAGTGAATTTTCTGAGAAACCATGTAGTCTTCAGTAGAATGCAGCGTTAATTAGTTTATTCCTGCAAAAGTGATTAACTGCGAACAAAGTGAAATTTTATTACACGTGCAAAGCGATCACCATTTACAAAGACAAAACCATCAAGCTGCCCAGAAGTAGGTCAGCTATAGCGGAAATGTATGTTTTGAGATGTATCCGATGGAAAGATGAGAGATAAACAAAATATGTTCTGGTATTATAATGACATTTCCAAACACATGGTAGCTTTTCATGCACGCATGCACTTTAAAAAAAATGCAATACATAGCACAGAAGCAATCTGCAAACCATGTTATATTTCATTTGTATGGAGCGGTAAAGCTCTTAAACTTTTCTTGTTTATGAATATGGCTTTCTTGTCACTCGTGTCACATGTGACTGCCTGTGTAGACGATGTCATTTGGTTAAATAATAATAATAATAATAATTCCTTACGTTTATATAGCGCTTTTCTGGGCACTCAAAGCGCTTTACATAGAAGGGGGAATTTCCTCAACCTTAAAAGAGCACAAACAGTCCCTGCACTGGTTGTGTTTCCATAAGGTCTGATTCAAAGACCTGAGAATGTCTCTAGCGTTACATAAAATCTCATGCAAATATGCAGAGCTTATCAGTCTCCTCATGGTTGAAATGGCTTGTGCATCTAAGACTCTCTTCTTTTTCTGGCTGCTGTCTATCATCACAGCAAACCTGAAGAGCCTGAGAGATCCTCACCTATCACTCAAACACGCTCAAGGTCATCCTAAACCAGATGCAATCAAATATATGTGCGTATGAGGCAATTTGAAAACCCGGACGAGCCCCCAAAAATCAGATTCTTATGGTTTTCTGAAAAACACTGGTTGTGTGCAGCGAGTTATTGTGGGAATTCATATTCAAGGCTTCATCCCTACTCCCCTGATCCTACTGAACATCAGATTTGAATCATCAATAAATAACCGAATTAACGACAATTAAAGTGATTTTTCTTAACTGACCCCAAAACTATGTTGCTGCTTAGCGCTACTGAGCGCCATATGCATATCTTCTATGCAGAACGACCAAAAATAATACAGGTTATTTTTGTCCAATAACTGATATACACAAATATTGTTTTATTTATGACTTTTGACACAACAACAATAATAAAAAAACATGAGCCTACAATAAAAACAGTATACATTATGAATATTAATATAAAAAATACTTGTGGTTATTATAATTATTATAATTTTAATATACAGTATATCATAATAACAATAAATGTAATGGAAGCATTTTTGGACTATGTTTAACTATCAAGATTGAAATACTATGCGTTGCTCAGTTAAAAACGAATGGGTGTAAAAAAAAAAGTTTTGAGGAATTGTGCAAACAATAAATTCAAAAGTAAGTATTTTACTTGTAAACAGTGTAGTTTCTTGAACACTCTGTAGTGTAATGGCATTCTTGGATGTTGTTCTTAAGAGACCCATCAAATGGTGCCACCCGATTTTAAAGAACCGATAACAAATGTGAATCTGTAAAAATATTGGCCAAGCCAGTAATCGATATATCGGTAATATTATGCACATATATCTTTAAAAAAAAATCCTAACGTGACTTTCCCACGAGAAAGTGCCTAAATCACGTTAAAAAGTAAGGTATGAAATGCTGCTAAGTTATACTTAAACTAACGATGACTTAACTCTATTGTGCATAATAATTATTCAAACTGCTCAAATCAGCAACGCCTGCTGAAAGACATCGTCTAATGCCTTTCCTATAACGGATTTCAGTGTATTGTTTAGAAATAACGGGTCTGCGCGCGTATAAATCACAGCAGAGGATCATCTGTAGAGATTGGAATATTAACAGACATGAACGTTACAGTTCTGTGTTAGATCGTCCCTATTCCACGTTTTACAACTGGAAAAAAATATCTCCAATATAAAAAGCCTCGCGTGGTTTTACCTGTTAACATGGATTGTTTCCACATTACGCAGCCAGTGTAATTGGTCGTAATGCTTGATGGAGCGATTTGAAACATAATTTTATCCACCTCAAATCCAACTTACCGGGATGACAGTGTGCCCAGCGGAGAACGAGCGAGGAGAAAAGCAGAGGCGGAATCCACCAGCAGCAGCAGCGCGGTCGCAGTAGCTTCCGCATGTCACACCGTATACATGGAGATCTGGAATAAGGCAACTGTTGACAGAGTTATCCTCCTGGTGAACAAAAAAACTCCCACAAACAAGCAATGCAAACGCACTGGACGCGCTTTAATGTATTTCGGTCGCCTCCTTTAAGAAGTCCTTTGGAGAGATTTTTTTTTTCTTTTGAAGTTCGACCGAGCCAAAGGAAACAGTTTTTTTTTTCTCTTTCTCTCTCTTTCAGATGGCTGGTCACATGATCTTCAGAAATCATTCTAATATGCTGATTTGCTGCTCAAGAAACATTTCTAATTATTATCAATGTTAAAAAAGCAGTGCTGCTTCATGTTTATGTAGAAAGTATGATGTACTACCATTCAGATGTGTTTCAAAAAATGCTTTTATTCGGCAAATGCATTACTTCAGAAATCATTCTAATATGCTGATTTGCTGCTCAAGAAACATTTCTAATTATTATCAATGTTAAAAAAGCAGTGCTGCTTCGTGTTTATGTAGAAAGTATGATGTACTACCATTCAGATGTGTTGAAGACGAGTCTCAAAAAATGCTTTTATTCGGCAAATGCATTAAATGGATCAAAATTAAAAACATTTATAATGTTACAGAAGATTTTATTCCAAACAATTGCTGTTGTTTTTATAATCTAAACAAACAAAGTGAAATAATCCTAAACGATTTTAATATATATATATGTATATTTACATACAATTTTACACAAACTGTGACTGTCCCTCACTGATTGTATCAGTTCCTCCGCAACCAACCATTTTGTCTGTAATCCTATTTATGAAAATCCTGTATATTTGGTTACCAAGGAGACAACAGCGTCAAGTATGCTTGACATGAAATATGAGACGAGTATGTGAGCAAAACAAAGAAAAATCAAGATGAATATCAAGTGAACCAAATGTCTGTCTGTCATTTTCAGTAATGCGATCATCTCTTGACCAGTCAAATTGGGTAAAAAGCGTGAAAGTCTTTCACAAAATAAAATAAATGACTTTTGTCACCTTTACAACACACGCAGTGGAAAATAAAATGTGCCAACAGACAAGACTGAGCAGGTTACTTTTGGTATGAAACACGGTCTCTGCTTTCAGATTTTGTCATTTTTTAAGAAATTCAAACAATAAATGTTGTTTTGTGGCCCTTTAAAGCACTAGTTCACTTCCAGAATGAAAATTTCCTGAAAAATTTCCTGAATCAAATGTTCATGAATTTCTTTCTTTAGTCGAAAAGAAATTAAGGTTTTTGAGGAAAACATTCTATGGTAGTGCTGTCAAACGATTAATCGTGATTAATCGCATCCAAAATAAAAGATATAATATAACATAACAGATATAATACTATATCTGTATTTATGTTCTACTGTTAGTGTTATCTGTATGCACCAAGGGTCTGAGAGTAACGCAATTTCAATTCTCTGTGTGTATGTGCTGTACATGTGGAAGAATTGACAATAAAGCAGACTTGACTTGACTTGACTTGAAAAGTTTTTGTTTGCATAATATATGTGTTTGTTCTGTTTATATGTATTATGTATATATAAATACACACACATAAACCATATATTTCGAAAATATTTACATGTATTTGCATGTCTATATTTATATTCATATAAATTATAAATAAATATATTTAATATATAAAAATAACATTTATTCTGAAATATATACATAATAAATATTCACAGTACACATGCATATATTATGTAAACAAAACTTTATTTTGGATGCGATTAATTGCGATTAATCGTGTGACAGCACTAATTCCAGGATTTTCCTCCATATAGTGGACTTCAGTGGTGGCCAACGGGTTGAAGGTTAAAATTGCTGTTTTCAATGCAGCTTCAAAAGGCTCTACGTGATCCCAGCCGAGGAATATGGGTCTATCTAGTGAAAAAATAGGTAATTTTCTAAGAAAAATACAAATTTATATACTTTTTAACCACAAATGTTCATCTTGCACTAGCTAGACCTCACGCGTTATGTAATCACGCATATGTGACGTAGGCAGAAGTACCGACACAGTGTTTACTGTTACGGGGCAAAAGGGAAGAGAGACGTTCGGATCCATCTGCAGAGCTTTATTTCACAACGTGAAACAGGTTACAAAACAGGAAAGGGTCAGTCACTGGCAAACAGGCATATCATGGGCAAGACAAAAGAGTAGTCCAGTAAACAGGCGTGTTCGATCTCTGTCGAACAATGTCCAAACGGGTAATCCAAAGGGGTAATCTGAAAACACAGGCAATAGTTCAGGCGAGAGTTAAACAGAGTCCAAACAGGGCAAGACAAGAGAATAATCCAAAGACAGGCAAGATATCTGAAAACACGACTAGACTAAACAGGCGAGACTTGACAGGACTAGAATACCAGGAATGACTCCATAATGTAGCTATCACTGACGTAGTGATAAGCGCTAACAATACTCGGTGATCTGAACAGGATCTGAGTGGGTGTTAAATAGTGTGTGTGATTGGTTTCAGGTGAGCATGTGATTAGTGAAATGGAAGACGGGAAATGTAGTCCAAGGTAATGTGAAACAGTCTGTGTAGTGTGAGAGTCAATATAATGGAAGGGCGACCTCTGGTGGCAATCGGACAGAAGTCCACAGACCAGATTCGTGACAGAGCCCCCCCAAGGAGCGGCTTCCAGACGCTCCTATCCCAATATAATCCAGGAGGGCGGTGGAGCAGAGGCGGAACAGGGGGAGGATGGAGGGCCAGGTCCACGTGGAAGTGGAGAGACCAAGAACTGAGGCAGAGCCGGCAGAGCAGGGCACCAAGGTGGAACCGGCGAAGCAGGAAGCCAGGGCGGAGCAGAGAACCAGGGTGGAGCCGGCGAAGCAGAAGACCACCACGGAGGAGCAGATGGAGCAGAAGACCACCACGACCAAGTAGAAGACGCCAGAAGAGCTGAAACATAGGGAACAGACAGAGCATTCACAGCCCCAATGACCGAGGCAGGCAACACAAAGGGTTCATTAACAAACTCATAGGCAGTTACTGATAGAGCTGAAAGTTCAGTGTTGGTCTCCTTGAAGATAACTGGGCAGACAGACAGACAGTTCAAAATCAGATACATTAGGGATACAGTAGGTAATTAGACTCATGGACTGAAACTGGCAAGACAGATAGTTCGTAACCGGGTCCACTGAATGTCACTGGACAGACAGACAGTTTAAAATCAACTGAATTGGCTGGAATAGGACTAGCAGATAGCTCAAAATCAAGGGCATTGACAGAAGCTGAAGCTGACAGTTCAGTGACAGAAACTCGACAGGAAGATAACTCACCTTCAGGCTCATTAATTAACATTGGACAGATAGGTGGTTCAAAATCAGACTTATCGCTATCAGAAACCAGATAGGTAGATGGTTCAAAATCAGCTTCAACAGCTACATTTGTAAAGACAGACCATCAGACAGACAGTTCAATATTAGACTCATTGACTGAAACAGGACTGACAGAAAGTTCATCAGAAATATTATTTGAAGCTAGACACACAGATAGCTCAAAATCAGACTCATTGACTGAAACAGGATCGACAGAAGGTTCATCAGACATATTACTTGAAATTAGTGGACAGACAGATCATTCGGAAACAGATTCATGGGTTGGACAGACAGTTCATTATTTAACTCATTGACTGAGACTGGCAAAAAAGATAGTTCAAAATCAGACACATTAGTTGAAACTAGACGGATAGAAAGTTCACAATCAACCCCCATGGCTGGTTCAGAATAGGATGAGAGTTCAGAGATGGCCTCCTCGGCTGGTTCAGAGCAGGACAAAAGTTAATAAATTGCCTCCGTAGCCATGACAGAACAAACAGGGAGTTCACAGACGGCCTCCATAGCCGTGACAGGACAGGCAGAGAGTCCACAGACGGCCTCCATAGCCGTGACAGGACAGGCAGAGAGTTCACAGACGGCCTCCATAGCTGTGACAGGACTGGCAGAGAGTTCACAGACGGCCTCCATAGCCATTACAGGACTGGCAGAAAGTTCACAGACATCCTTCATAGCCGTGACAGGACAGGCAGAGAGTTCACAGACGGTCTCCATAGCCATTACAGGACAGGCAGAGAGTTCACAGACGGCCTCCATAGGCATTACAGGACTGGCAGAAAGTTCACAGACAGCCTTCATAGCCGTGACAGGACAGGTAGTGAGTTCATAGATGGCCTCCTTGGCCGGAACAGAACAGGACGAGAGTTCATAAGTGGATACCACTGACATCTCTGGAGGTTCTGCAGCGGATGCCGCCACCTCTGGAGGTTCTACAGCCATACCATCAGGAAACAGGGAAATTCATTAGCATTCTTCTTAACAGGACAGGTACAAAGTTCAGCAATGGTTCCACAACATAACAGTCTGAAAGTGCATTGCTGGGCACCACCACCACACAAGGAGCTGAAGTGAATGCCGCCGCCTTGGAAGGTTCTGCACCTCTGGAGGACCTGGAGCGAGCACCGCCATCTCTGGAGGTTCTGTAGCCTCAGCCGCCACCTCTGGAGGTTCTGTGGTGGTGTATGCAGTCCAAACACACTAAAAAGCGATCCTCATCATGGGAAGCGCTTCAGACAGGGGACGCAGTTCAGGAACAGGAGGGCTAGAGTGAGTGGGTTTTGGAATACCAGCTGCGCCTGCTGACACCAGCGGTGGATCCTCCACGCTGGATGCCAGTCGGGAATTCTGACGAACTGACCTCGGAGATCTGGGTGCAACAGACAGGAAGTGGCCAGACTCTGGACGATCAGCTGCGACGTGACTCTGGACGAACAGCTTAGATGTGACTTGACTCTGGAAGATCAGCTGAAACGTGACGAGACTCTGGGAGATCAGCTGAGACGTGACGAGACTCTAGACGATTAGCTGTGACTTGACTTGACTCTAGATGATCAGCTGTGACGTGACGTGACTCTGGACGATCATCTGAGACGTGACGTGACTCTGGACGATCAGCTGTGACGTGACGTGACTCTGGAAGATCAG